TTTTTCTAATTTTTTTCCGGTATTTTTTCTGATGAAAAATCTTTGACCAGTAATTTTTGTTTTTCTAAATTTTTCAATGTTTTTTCTTTTCTTATAAGAAATTCGGGCAGCAGAACTTTCTGTCTCACATCGTATTTATAGTGTTTTTTTCTTTCTTCTTGAAGTATATCAATAAATTGCTTGCTCTCTCTCTCTCTCTCTGTTTTTTCGAAAATTGTTGTCAATTTTTTTTCCATACACACACCATTCTTGCTTGATAAAAAAAACAAATATTTTTTCTGTCTTTCTACACTCAAAATCAATCATGTTTATTATTACAAGCAAAACAAAAAAAAAAACAAAACGAATCAATCCAAACTGATTATTGTTAATCGCAAAATTTTTTCTCTTTTTTTTCTTTTTGCTAATCTATACCATTATTTACTTATTAATTAATTAATTAAAAACGAAAAGTTTTTTTCTTCTTTCAAATGATTTGTTCACGTATTTTTCTTCCAAAAAATTCATTCAAAATCCAAAACATTCGATTCGAATTTTTAATTATCGAAATGGCCGCTAGGAAGCGATCAATATCGATGGTTGTTATATCGAACATATTGAAAAAAAAACAAACATGCGCAGAAGAAAAAATGATGATGAGCAATGGATGAATGAAGAAGAGCACACACGACGCGTATATTGATTTTGGTTTCAAAGAATATGATTTTTTTTTTTTTTTGTTGTTTTGATTTTTATAACGATAAATGATGATAATCTATGTTCATTGAGAAAAAAATAAAGTAATAAACAGTTTTTTCGCCATTCATAACATTGACGACGACGATGATGATACTTCTACACATCTCCAAATAATGATGATGATTGAAGCATCAAATTGACAAAATTGAAATAAAATATACTCATTATTATTGTTGATGTCATATATTTTATCATCATCGAACCGATCATTGTTTTTTTTTTGATTTTTCAAATAAAGATTTCTTCAATTTTTTTTTCATTTCATTTCATTCATTGATTCATTGTCTGATTTATTGTCAAATGTTTTGCTGTTCACTTTATTCATCATTCGACAAAAAAACAACAACAACGAAAAGATGTTCAACACCGCCAACATGATTGGCATCACTGCTGAACATCTTTGTGAACTTTTAGGTCATTTTCATACGTTGACCGATTCATTACATTCTCATCATCATCATCAAGATAAATTACAGCATCATTCAAGAATTTTATTAATTGATTGTCGATCATTTCTTGCTCACAATGAATCACATATTATTCATTCAATCAATGTTTTCTGTCCACCATTTTTACGGTAATCTAATGATTTTGTTTGTTTAAAATGATTTTTCTACTAACAAAATTTTCATTTCAAATAGGCGTCGAAATGGAACGAAACCCTTGTTAAAAACTTTGTTTCCGGATAATTTAATTCAAGATCGTCTCTTGACAGATTTTTATTTTCATATAATTCTTTATGAAGATCATGATTTAACTTCTGATTCAATATCATTTTATATTGCACGTTGTTTACAAGAAGAAGCTGGTATTAAATATATTAATTATTTGGAAGGTTTGGACACTTTTTTAATTTTTTTCTTTGAATAGCTCCTAAAATCTTTTAAAAAAAAAAATCTATTTGATACATAGGAGGCTTTATTCGTTTTTGTAATCGATACCCTTTATTTTGTACGAATACACCACCACTACCACCAAAACCATCGGTAATGTTAATAAAACCATCATTGACAAAAACACGTTGTAATCGAACAAATCGACGATCAAATTATCAATATATACATACATGGCCATTTCGATCGAAATCAAATAATTATTTTAAACCATCAACACCTACATCATTAACATTTTATGATGATGGTAATTTTCCAAGAATATTTTTTGAAGATCAAACAGAACCTGCCGAATTATTACCTTATCTTTATTTGGGTAATGAATGTCATGCATCATCAAAAAATCTATTACTTAATCTTGGTATAACAGCCGTATTGAATGTATCACAAAGTTGTCCAAATCATTTTGAAAATGAATTTTATTATAAACGTATACCGATTAATGATTCTAAATGTGATGATATTACTATTAGAATTAATGAAGCTTTAAATTTTATTGGTATGTTTTTGTAATGTTTTCATTGAATTTTTTTTAGATTTAATCATTTTTTAACAGATGAAATCAAAGAAGATCGTAATGGAAAAATATTGGTTCATTGTCAAGCAGGTATTAGTCGATCAGCAACAATTTGTATTGCATATCTTATCAAAAAGAAACGTATTCGTATGGAAGAAGCATATGAATTTGTTAAATCACGTCGTCAATTAATATCACCAAATTTTAATTTTATGACACAATTAATGGAATTTGAGGATCAAATATTTTCCGATAATAAACAAATCTAAAAAAAATAATGTAAAATTCCAGCCTTAAAGACCATTTGGTGGTTTGATGAAAAAAAAAAAAAAATTTCTTCTCTTCTCTTCACCATACTTCATTCTCATTAACACTAATCTCACCTGTTGTTGTTGTTGTTGAATACATTTAGAATCTCCATTTATATTTTGATAGAACAAAACGATTTTTTTTTCATATTTTCATAATGTATCATGTATCATTATTATTGTTACCATTTTTCATTCTCTCTTTCTGTATCCGAATTCTATATATTTTTCTAAATATCCTTTCTCTCTCTCTTTATAGAAACAAACAAACAAAAATCACACTAGTCAAATTCTATGTATATTTTTTTTTCTTATTTTAATCAACCATCGTGGCCAATTTTTTGTTATTCAGACCAATATTGATTGATTATTTTATTTTTTTGAAAAAAATGGACTATAGCTTCAAAGTGCCTAAAGTAAAATAAATTGATTTTAAAAATGATCAAAAAAAAAAAAGAAATTTCAAAAAAAAAACAATTTTCAGAAATTGGGCCATAAATGTTCGAAAATATACAATTTATTCAAAAATTTTCACAGCCATCTAGTGTTTCAAATAAAAATTATGAATATTTTTTTTAAAAAAAATTATATTTTCGAAAAATGCGATTATTATTGCGTTTTGTAATGTCATCACGTTTTGGACGGTGAATATTTTTTTAATTATTTTGATTCCTTGTATTTTCGAAACAAAAAGGATAATATCCTTTCTGAATAGTTATTGTTCGTGTTTTCTTTTCTTCGATATAACACCTGTATCATCATTTATCTATTCAAAAAAAAAATAAATAAATAAATAAAGTCGATAATCGATATAGTCAAAACAAACCTGTAAATTGAATAATTCCTACAGCCCACAACTCTTTGTAGATTTCCAAAGTATCATAAATCAGATTGACTATTTATGCTCTATACATATCTTTTGGATCTCCATCGAATAATGCATTCAAGTTGTCACCAGATTCAACATATACTTGTATAAATCTTGAGATATTAAATCATCATCTATTTCAAGATTCCAACGCTTTGCGTGTTGTAATTGGTATTTTATTGATAAATTTTTTTTAAATTGAATATATCAATAATTTTAGAAAGTCATCATCTATTGCGAATGAGATAAAAGATGATTACAGCTATCAATTGTTCGATCTTCTGTTGAAACATGTTCTACTATCCCGGAAATATCATAGTGGTTTTGAGATATATTTTACGTTTTTGTGTATTTAATCAAGAATGAAGACTTTCGTCTTTGTCGATCATTCCGGCTAGGTACGACAAAGTTGGTAAGATTCGGTGAAGAAAATGAATTTTTTATATCTATTCCGCATCTCTGAAACCACGATTCAATACCAAGTATATTGTGTACCATTCGAAAATGATAGACAAAGAAATGTGATTTTTGAAGCACATCTTTCCAGATTTTTCTTGTGGATGGAAAAGTCAAAGTCAAAGCCTCGATTCGATCTGTTGGTGATGGTAAACGTGATTTAACGATCAATGTTATTTTGAATTCGAAAATCTTTGAGAATGATTCGAATTTAGAACAAAAAAAAAATGACTCATCAGGAGGAAAACGCTTCTTTTATCGAATTTTCGAATTCTTATTACTTGTCGACTATTTTTACTAATTTTGCTTGACTAAGCTATTTTGACAATTTTTGCAAAAAAAAAATATTTGTTGGTTTTTTTCAATTTTTCTCATCGAAAAAANGCCATCTAGTGTTTCAAATAAAAATTATGAATATTTTTTTAAAAAAAAATTATATTTTCGAAAAATGCGTTTATTATTGCGTTTTGTAATGTCATCACGTTTTGGACGGTGAATATTTTTTTAATTATTTTGGATTCGTTGTATTTTCGAAACAAAAAGGATAATAGTTGTTTTAAAGTTATTGTTCGTGTTTTCTTTTCTTCGATATAACGCCTGTATCATCATTTATCTATTCAAAAAAAAGAAAAGAAAAATAAATAAATAAAGTCGATAATCGATATAGTCAAAGCATTAAAGTTGTTACCAGATTCAACATATTTGTATAAATTTTGAGATTTTAAAAGCAGCATCTATTTCAAAATTCCAACGCTTTGCGTGTTGTAATTGGTATTTTATTGATAATTTTTTTTTTTAATAGAAAAATGAATAATTTTAATAATTTATCATTATCTGCTGCGAATGAGATAAAAGATGATTACAGCAATTGATTGTTCGATTACTGTTGAAACATGTGCAACAATGTTCTACTATGTGTCATTGTTGTTTTGAGATATATTTTACGTAGGATTTATAGATTTTTCTGTTTTGAATCGATACGTTTTTGGGTATTCAACCCAAAATGAATTTATCGATCATTTCTGCAAGATACGACAAAGTTGGTAAGATTCGGTGAAGAAATCGCATCTCTAAAACCACGATTCAGTACCAAGTATATTGTGAAACCATTCGAAAATGATAGACAATGAAATGTGATATTTGAAGCACGTCTTTCAAGATTTTTCTTGTGGATGGAAAAGTCAAAGTCAAAGCCTCAATTCGATCTGTTGGTGATTGTAAAATGATTTAACGATCAATGTTATTTTGAATTCGAAAACCATTTAGGATGATTCGAATTTAGAACAAAAAAAAATGACTCATCAGGAGGAAAACGCTTCTTTTATCGAATTTTCGAATTCTTATTACTTGTCGACTATTTCTACTAATTTTGCTTGACTAAGCTATTTTGACAATTTTTGCAAAAAAAAATATTTGTTGTTTTTTTTCAATTTTCTCATCGAAAAACTAAAAAAAAAACAAACATCATTTTCAATGACAACAATCGACATCCTTATTACCATACACCTATACCTTTAATTGGCAAGCTAAAATATTAAACAGGTTGACACTTTATAAACAGGCGTAATAATTTCATTTTTTGCTTCTACCACACATTCATTCACTTGACGGTAGTCTTTCAAAGTCCGTTATATGGAATTACGAATTGCTTGAAAGATTCGTATCATTGTTAGCGGTTCTTTTTTTGTACATGCATGCATGCATCATCTGACGTCCTCAAAGTTTTTTTTTTTGTTAAAATAAACATGCATGCGTCAAAATTGTATGGCGTTTTTTTTCGCTGTTGTTGTTGTTCATATGATCTGCCATGGTTAAATTATCATTTTTAATTTCATTTTCCTATATCTTTGTAATGCTTCTCTCTCTCTCAGAAATATATTTCATGTTTGTCATTTATCATTTGTATATTTAGATTTCTAATGTAAACAAAAAAAAAATTTTCGAAAAACGCATGCGCTTTACATTTTACGACTTGTATCCACCACACACGTGTACATTGCATAATGTTTTTTTTTTTTTTTTGATCAAAATTTCATTCATAAACAACGATGGAAATGATGATTATAGAAAATCGGTACATTCTAGAAAATTCTACTGTTCGCTCACATCATTTATTGATTGAAAATGAACGAAAAAAGATTTTTTCTTTTCTTCAAAATGATTCAATTATAATTAGAAAAAAATAACTGATAATTTAATTTGAATTTTTTAAAATTTTTTTTTGTCCAAATTCAAAACAAAAATTTGAAAACAAAAAAAAAAATCCCAAAAAAATTCGTAATTTATGAACCGACAAATATCTATACATATAGTAGATACCTTTGTAGTAGTGGCATTACAAACAGAAACAAAATTTGTGCAGAAAATCCAGAAAATCCAAAAAAAAATCTGAATGACGTTTTCCATTCATTCTGATTGGCGTGTCTTTCATTCATTTTGGTAGCAGCACAGGGAAAGGTGTACAAAAACCAAAAAAAAAAAAAAAAAAAAATCGAACCATTTTTTTTTTGGTTACATGTGCTCCATCAAGCGCATGTGGTTGTTGTTGTTGTTGTTTATCATTATTATTGTTGTTGCTATACGCTAATCTTTTCAACTTTCATCAATGCTACTATCACCATGTTGTTGTTGTTGTTGTTGTTGATGTTGGCCATGCACTCAATCAAAAAAAAAAAAAAATTAAAAAAAAAATGAACGAAAAGACCTCGCTCCATGTATCACAAACACAAACACAAAACGACGCTGCAATCGCAAAATATTAAAAAAAAAAAAAAAAATCTCTTTCTCTCCCTCTATATCTTTCAATTTTTTTTTTTTTGGTTTTTTCTCTCTCTCTCTCTTTTACT